CAGGCACAACTGATCATAACCCCACAGCCAGACCACATTAGCTTAAATTCTCCCTTAGCCACTATATTTCTATTGAACAGTCATAATGTTCTGGACTTTCTTTCCAAAATTAAACTGTGTGGTCTGTTAGTTATTATTGAGACTTGAAAAAATTCTGCCAAAAACAATGAGCCATTAGGTTAATAACAAAAAGTAGTTATGAGCTCTGTACAAATAAAACCAAGCTGACAGTGATTATTAAGTCTAGAAGATTTTGATTTATATAAATTCAGGTTTTTTCAATAATTTTTAAAATAAGATATAAAGTATTAGTGTAGTAATCCAAAAGGTGTGCTGGTATTTTTTAAAAAAAACTCTAGATTTTGAAGAGTGTGATCTCTCTATTCTTTTTTTTGCCTGTTGGTTACAGACATTATATGGCAACACCGATGAAAAAGACAATTCACTCAGATTGCTGACTCTGAAATATTCAGAGTGCACAATTTATGCAATTTTCCAATGGAATTTTGTGGTTCCTCACAGTAAATAGTCTCAGTTAAATTTAGACACGACAAAGGAAGTTCAAATGTTCATTAATTTACTTTTGACAATTAAAAAGAGTTAGCTAACTCATCAGATCATTTGATTTCTCACTGAGTCCTAATCATCAGGAAACCACAGCCTCCATCTGTCCTCATAGGCATCATCAATTGATTCAATTTATGACTTTTCAGATAGTAATCTATCAAATCACCTTCATCTTTACCTTGGACTTAAATGTTTAATGTTATACACTGTGGGTGTTCAAAAGCAGGTGTACTATTGGCACCCTAAGTTACAGTTTTTCTTAATGCTATTATTTATGCTACTGTGTTCTTCACAACTAAGCTATTAAGATTTAATAGGCAGTCTTCTAAAAGCAGTGATTTCTCAAAAAATCCCGTGTGTGTAGACACGTCATTTTTGTAAATGTTGCCACAAAGGACTGTAAAGATTTTATAAGGACCACTTATAAGGAGAGAATTATTTATCTGATCATTAAGACAGTCTTCGGATTTTTTTTAAAATTACCAGTAAAATTTCATAAGATTTTCTAATTATTAGAAGTACACAAAAGTACTTGTTTTCCCAAAACATGCTAAAAGCAGTAGAAATTTATAGTAACTCCTGTGAAAATAAGATGTTACTTTCAATTAGGTTTTTAATTATTTATTTTGTTTTCTCCTAATCTACTTCCTGACTTAGCAAACTACGTAAACACGTAGTCCCACTGCTCCCGAAAAAAAAATGAATATTAATTGTTGTGATGAATAAAAATTTTTTTTTTTCACATATTTCTGAACTATTTGGTGATTCAGAACGTGGACGGGAGAGGATATTACTGACCATCTCAAGTAAAATACAAAAATGTGAAAGAAAAACAAAGAGTTAAACTTCCAGTGAATTTTTGTTGCTACCTATTTTGAATTCCCAAGGCATTTCCTTGAACCAAATTGTGAGTTTTTACCAGGACCAAAAATACTTTATGAATGATCAATACAAATGGGTTTTGATGTGGTTTTTTTTGTTTTGTTTTGTTTTGTGATTTTTGTTTTGTTTTGTTTTGTTTAGTTTGGTTGGTTTTTTTGTTTGTTTTCTGTTTGGTTTTTGTTGGGTTTTTTTTGTTGTTTTGGTTTTTTTTGTTTGGTTTTTGTTTTGTTTTGTTTTGCTTTGTTTTGGTTTTTGTGTGTTTGTTTGTTTGTTTTGTGGTTTTTGTTTGTTTTTAGGGTTTGGGGGGTTTTTTTGGTGTGTTTTTTTGTTTTGTTTTGTTTATTTGTTTGTTTGTTTTGTGGTGAAGAAATTCAATCAAAAATAAAAGCACAGAAAACGGAAAACATCTTAGACTCACGATAGTGACAAGTAGCTCCCTCGTAACCAGTGTTGGCACAGTTGCAGTGGAAGCTGTTCCAGGATTGTGAGCACTTCCCACCATGTTCACAGTAATTAGGCAAACACCTTAAGTGAAAAACAAAGAGCATTTCCACTCTTTAATTTTCCGCTCATTTACACGTCACTTGTACTTATCAAGAAATGCAAAATCCTGGAAAAGAAGTGCAATAGCATGAAGGAAGCCTTCAAGTTCACCAAGGAACACGTCAACACAAGCACAAGAAAATTACAAGGATTTCTTCCCTGGTATTCCTACTTATTGCCGCCCTTGTTGCCCACACAGAAGCAGCTCTGCAGCGTTTAACATCCTGCTTTGCAGACACTGCTGAGCTCTTTGGGCTGGAAGTCAGCTTAAAGAAGACAGAAGTTCTCCATCAACCTGCACCTCAGGAAGTCCCCCATCATCCCCACACCACCACTGGCCAGTCAGAGCTCAAATCAGTCCAGCAGTTTAATTCCCTAGGCAGCCTCATCTCCTCGGATGGTGAGATTGACGGGGAGACAGACAACAGGTTAGCAAAGGCATACAGTGCCTTCAGAAAGCTTCATAAAAGAGTTTGGCGAAATAAACACCTGAAGAAAAGTACCAAGGTCAGTGTTTACAGAGCCATAGTGCTGTCTACTCTCTTATAGGGATCTGAATCCTGGGTCATCTACCGCCACCACCTGCGACTCCTGGAACGCTTCCATCAACGCTGCCTCCGAACAATCCTAAACATCCACTGCTCAGATGATGTGACCAATCCATCTGTTCTAGAGCAAGCAGCAGTCACAAGCATTGAGGCCATGTTGCTGAGAACACAGCTGTGCTGGGCAGGGCACGGCTCCAGGATGAAGGACCAACCACCCCCTCCCTAAGATCTTGCTTTATGGTGAACTTGTCACCGGCTGCTGCAAGAGAGGAGCCCCAAAGAGGAGATACAAGGACTGCCTGAAACAACATCTCAGCCTTGGCCATATTGATCACCATAACTGGTCTACTCTGGCCTCCAATCAGGAGCTCTGCAGACACACCATCTGTAACGCTGCTGATGCCTTTGAGAACGCAGCAGGATCACCCTTGAGGAGAAAAGACAACCCAGAAAGAATCGTGTCTTGCAGAATTTACCACCTAAGGAGTCTTCCTGCTGTGCCTTTTGCAACAGGACGTGTCTGTCTCGTATTGGCCTTTTTAGCCACCAGCGTGTTTGTAACAAACGTGGGCAGAGCCCTGCCCAAATCTTCGTTCACGAAGCCTGGCCATGATTCCTATTGCTTATAACAAATATCCTAATTATGCAAAAAAAGGCTGTGAAATGGAACAGAAATAAAGTGTAAGCTGCAGATTTGTTACTTATTACCCATTCAACTGTCTGCAATTCAATAGAGGCTGATAAACTAATGAAAGGTTTATGCCAGTTGATAATTCAATGGCAAGTTTTGCTACGGAAAGGATTTCTTCGCAAGGTGTGTCACAACAAAGAAGCATCAAGATAGATTTCTTTCTAGCTTCTAGAAAAATCACCTAGAAAAATAAACCTGACCACTTCTAGAAACAGTTCAGTTTGTTGATTCCAATACAACAAGTAAACTACCGGTAAAGCCATTCTGGTGATATGATGAGAAACATGAAGAATTTTGGTAACTTGCTCTTAGGTTTGCAGTGGTTGACTGAAAAAATAATTTTAATAATCACTGCTTAATGTTTTACAGCACTGTACTAAATTACAACATAGTCATGAGGTATAAAAAGAAAAATTACTCTTTTTTTTATAAATACAACAGAAAATATATTGAAACAGATTGACACACTTTAACTAAATATTAACTAGTTTAGAAATTAACACTTTAGAAATTAGTTAACATTCTAACTGAACCAAGGGTATATGCATGTATATGTGTATATATATACGTATATCTATATCTATATGTATATGCATATGTATATGTATACATTATATAGCTGAGAAAGTATAAAATGGCTTTACTGTTGACATTAGCCACAAAAAAAATTTAAAAAAAATAAATAGGCCCAATAATATTCACGGGATCTAAAAATACCTTTTTATTAATGCTAGAAATCTTAGGAGGATATTAAATTAGGACTGCAGAAAGTCCAGCATTTAACATATCTGCCCTATGAATAATTCAGAGCCTGCATACATTCACTCCTCATGCTACTCATTTTATCTTCCTTTCATGTTTATAAGCAACGACAAAGAGAGATTTTTTCACAGAAGGGAAGAAAAAAAAAAGAAGTAGCAGGTGAAAAACAAGTAAAGTAATAAAGTGATATAGGTCACCTATCTTCAAGGAAGTCTATGACATTTTTTGCCAGTGAAAGAGCTGATCTTTTATCTATTCTCTCACAGAGTGTGTTCCTAAGACAAGTCAACAGATGATATATGTCTCAATGAGCTCTGTTTTGGAACCTGAAAATAAACTTTAGGCACCGGGCTTACAATAATTTGGATTTTAAATATGTTGTTCGATGGAATTACCTAAATATGCATAGTAGTGTTTCTCGATTTAGCTTTCTGTGGGTACAACTAACTATCAGTTATTAAAAATACACATTTGTAGCAGAACTACCACTCAGGATTTTCAGGGCATCCACTGACAGCTGCTCTGCTTGTGTGCATTTCAGTCATAGAATTTCTTGTCTTATTCCTTTTCGATAAAGACATCATTATCCAAAAATTGTAAGTGATTTACATGGCCTTTACTTCTATTGACTCCCTGTCCCTGTTAATTAATTTTCTTAAGAGTGTTCACAAGATGAAAATCTTAGATGAAATTGGTGATGCTTGAACCAACTTTTATGAAAGTGAAAACAAGGTAAGAGTGTAATTTAAATCTTTTAACATTAAATTTCACATCTTCCCTCTTCCTCAGAATGTCTAATAGAAAGTAGCCATGAGCTGCATCAAAGTTAACGTGTAATTACATTTTATGCTGTGGCCCTACCCAAAGCAGGATTTGTAACAGAGCTTTCTCTGAGGAAACCAATCTTCTAACAAAAATATTTCTAATGTTTGAAACAGAATTTCTAATTCTTCATCTGTAAGAGGTAATTTTTGGATTCATCATCATGGCTGCTAAAAGCAGAAAAGCGACAGGTGATTAAACATTTGTCACATATTTCTTGATAATATGCTTTTAAGTGTAAGCCATTTGAAAATGATACTATTTTAAACCAAGGCAACAGGATGTTAATAATCATAAACTAATGTACAGAGGAGAATACTGATCCAGAATATGAATATACTTTTGATAAAGAAGGGAAAAAAATAGGAACTTTGTCTGCCAATTACCAACTAGCCACATTTTTTGTGCACTATTTCTTTATCATTGTTCCAAACAATGGCTAAAAGATACTTTAAAAGGAGTGTGTAATTGCTGCAATTTTAATTTCTATTATTGCTTTATTCTTCAGTTTAAAAAAAAAAAAAAGAGAGAGAGAGAAAAAAGTATTTGAGAACTGTCCAGTAACCATAATTTCAGTTTTTGGCTTTTTTTTTTTTTTAAACATATAAAGCCATTTATTCTGGTTTTTGTACAATTGTATGTTCCTGTGTAGGGCTTAATGTAATTATGACAGGTTCATCTAGTACTCTCTCTTCAGAGGCTAAATGTGCTAACTTTGTAAGGCATTTAAACGACACTGTGTCCTTTAAAGTTATGTTGTCAATGGTTTGTGTATGATTAGCAGTTATTAAACCAATATATATTGATAAAGGAGATGAGAGAAAATATGTTAAGGAGAAATATATGAAAATAATTGCTTGAATGTCCAAGAGGTCTATGAGCATTAGAACAATATAGAAAGATATTATGCAACAAAATTGCTAAATGAAGGGGCATGGGAAGAGTGATGGTTGGAAAAAGTCAAAATAATTTAAGAACAGGACGAAGAATTGGAAAGTTTACGGAATTGAGAAAACTGAAAATAAGAAACCAGTACAATATTTATTTGTATAAAAAGAAGACAAACTAATATCTCAACAAATAAATGAATGGTTAGCTAACCATATGTCCATGAGGACTGTAAATCTGATAAAGAATACTCTTCATATGTTAAATGTGTATATATGTGATAAAGCATGGATTCAGTAGAGTTATTTTCAATTTATTTACTGCTGCATATAAAGACAGGTCACTACGCAAAAAGTAAGTTTTATTTGCCTTCCTGCCCTTTAAATGGGTAAAACTACTACATTTAGTGGTCCATCATTTCTACTACAAAAGCCATCAATAACTCCAGAATTTGGGTCATGCGTCGCTATTGAGAATTAGAGATGCAAAGACTCCCATAAAGACTCCAAGACAAAGAAGGGGATTGTTTGTGCTCAGCTGTAGGGGAGATATTTACCCTCAGGAGCACAGTGCCAAAAGTGCCGATTAGCTTAAGGCAACCAAAGAATGTATAAATCATTGTAGGAAGAAAATATTTTCTCTCCAATGATATGCGCACAGGATCACACCTGTTAAAAATTGTTTAATACATGTAAGCAGTTTTAATGTTGCCAAAGAAGAATGTGTCATTTCAGCTGGGATTTAAGGTTGGGACGTAGAACTAGTTTGATAAATTTGTTCCAGTTGATGAACTGCAGATATCAAAAGAAATTAAAGGAATGATGAAATAATTGTGTGAGGAAACTTGGTCCCAGGACCAAGATAGCACAGGACCAGGAAGGCTTTTTAAAAGCACTCTATTTTGAAATAAAATATAATGAGGATAACAAAATTGATAAAAATGTGTGGCTTAAAATTGTATTTTGATAAATTAGGAAGACATATGCTAAGCATGCTGAGAGATGAAAACTAAATCTAGCAGAGCCAGTGCAAAAAAAGTGCAACAGTCAAGATATAAGAAGAGAGAAAACAAGACCAATAAAAAAAAATTTCCATGGAAGTTTTTTTTTTCCCCTTTGGTATCACTGATCTTGAAAAAACACATATAATTTTGATGAAGTTTGAAAGTAACATAAAGTTAAAAGAAAAAAAAAGGGTCAACACAGTGTCAGAAAGTAATAAAAACACTTTGAAAAGATTGTGGCTGGGAGGTTTAAGTGTCTTACACAAGTCCTTATTGAAAGGAAAAAACCCCGCAACAAAACAGATGGCAGTGGTATTGACACAAATGAACATGGTAACTACCTTTATGTGCTATAAAAGTTCAGCAAAATAAAAAACATGAGGAGGGACTATATAAAAAAACTAAGCTCTTTGATTCAGTGCTTAAAAACAATAAAAACAGTAATTAAAAGGGAAGGGTGCAGTTCCGAATAAATTGAATTTGCATTGAATTAAAGAGAAGTATTATGACACTTGAGATACTGGAAGTAATGCTGGATTTTTTCTATATATTGAGATTCACAGAGTGGTTGTATGCATATTTATACACACAAAAACCCGTATGTACAAAATTACATGTTATGGTCACTCATAGCTGAAAACTGCAATCACTGCATATAAAAATGGGTTCAGCCTAAAGGAGTAGTTTGCAAGAAAGCTAAAAAAAATGTGACTGTATGCTGCATTCCAAATACAAGTCCCTAGCAAGTCATACAGTAAGTTTTGACTGAAGGCAAACTCTGTTTTGGCATATGTCTATCACACTGAGTTCCTACTGCAAAGTCAGGATTAGTTCAGTAAGGGATAAAATTAGCACAAGAATCATATCTATATCTCTATATAGATATATATAGATACATATAAATATATATATCTATATATGAAAACTGTGTATGTTTTTAATATGTGAAAGCTGTTGAAATATTAATGAGAATACACATTACAACACAATCGAAAGGATCACATTGTAGGCAAAACTTCTATTGTCTTTTTTGGTGGTTTCTTTCCTTAAACTTTTATGAACAATTAGGTAAAGAAATAGTTGGTTTTCTTTTTTGTCTTTGATCTACAAGGAGCTGTGCCTGCCTCCAAAATAACAACCATGACAGCTGTACACTGCGTTATCTCTATGAATTGAAAGCAGGTCACAGAAACAGGTCTGTGTAGCCATAGGTTGGCTATGGTTTTGAAGAAGATATCTGCCTATCGTGTTTTTCCCAAAGAAAGTAATTTTTGAAAGTCTTATAATTCAAAGGCCATACTTTGCTAGATCAAAAGGCACTTTATGAGGACTAGAAATACAGAAAGTGAGGGAGAAGTGTTTACAAGCACATCATTCCCCTGCCTGTTGTGTCGTTTCAGTACGGCCTTACAAGAAAACCACGTTTGGATTAAAGTAGACTTTGCAGAGATGCCTGTGACTGCAATCTCCGGAGTCTATAGAAGAAAAGTTCAGCTGCTGCCTGTTCATGTGGCTGCTCCTCTTCTCAGCAGCCTCTTGTTCTGCAACACCCCCTCTGCTTTCTCTTCACTGAGCTCCAGCAATGTCTTTCTATCAAACATTTCCACTTCCAGGAAGGTATATAAGTCTTTCCTCCCTGTGGAGGGAGACACTTCAACTAGTTACTCTGTCAGATGCTAATTGTGAAACAGGAGCCAGGCCTAAAAGAGTTAACTGAGATATCTTGGCCTGCTAACAAACCCCAATACCTGTGTTGCTGGAAGAACATTTTAGGAGCACTGGTTCATATCATGTTCTGTTCTGATCACTGCACCAAAGGCCTTATTATAGAAAGAATAGGAGTAGTACACACACAGTAATAAATTAGGTAAACCAGACCTTTGAATAAGATCTAGAAGGCCCAGAGCCAGGATTTTGCAAGCTTGAAGAATTCAGGTCACCTGATTGAAGAGGTCAAATTGAGGAAGACGTCCATGGCGGCCACCAGAGGGATGAAGGCTTTGAGGAGAAGACCCCACAGTAGAAGACTGGGCATGTCTGGAAAGACTCTGCCCAGAGACCAGTCTGCTTATTAATATGTATAATAAATGATGTAACCATGGATCTAAAGTGTATAAAATGGCTTAGTTTTGCACTTTCAAGTAGAGCAAGTTTGTCCAGCATGAGCTGGCTTGCTCCCAACGTTGAATAAACAAATACCTTGCTGCCTAAAGATAAAAAAATGTCTCTGGGCAGTCTTTTGGGCGGATTCAATTGCAATTTATGAGATTAGTTCTGATCATAGTCTAAAAGGAGATTGCTCACTCACTGTGATGGATACTATCTATTGAGTTCCTGATGGACAGAATATAGGAAACAGCAATAACTTGTAAAAACATAGCATTTAAAAGGGTGGGTGGGACTCATGTCACAGGAGAGGATTCGTGTCTGCAGCTTTACTTGAAAAGAAAGACATTTAAAATTTGTCAGAAACAAAAAATAATCTTAAACAAAGTTGGTTTAATTTTATTTGTGGCACACAGAAGTCTATTTGCTGTGCTAAGTATTCTGCATTTATTCTTACAAAAGAAGCACCATGCTATTTTGTAACTGTACTGTTCTTCGTCATCAAACCAGTATAACAAAGAGAACATTGAAATAAATAAATAAATGAGTAAACATTGTGTTCTTACCTGTCCGTAATGCCACACAAATCTATCTGAAGATCACTGAAATTGCCAAAACCATTCTGCTGAACTGAGATCATATCCACTGCTTTGTTACCAATGGAAATGAGCCTCATGCATCCTTGAAAACCACCAAGTGAGGTATTACATTCAGAAACATTTCCACTTCTAGGACAGCCTGAAAGAAGAATAGAAACTGGAGCTGAAAAGAAATACTTTGTTGAAAAAATTACATATTCCAAAAGTAGACTGAACTTTCATAATCTCCATATGTTTTAAACTTCATGGGTAGAAGACTTTTGCCTTCTGATTATGCATGATTGTGTGACTATAATGAAATAATTCTCAGCAGTCTCACTGGTTTTAAAGCATATGCAAAAACATCACTAAAATTTTTGGTAAAGGATAACCTAAGCAACAGTTCCAAGGCAGTGAATGGAATCAGGTATGAACAGATTGATTGGGAGATCTTAGTCACAAAATTAGATTAGATTACAAGGTCACATGGCTTGACCAAGTTTTAAGTCACAATTGAAATCAAGACAAAAATTATTTACTAAGTACAGCCATTTTATTTTATCAACTGTCAAGATTTTGTAAAGTACTGAAGAGAATTTCTCAGTGCGGATCATCAATGACTCAACCAGGAGAGATTCTCCACTGGACTTTGCTACTCATGAACAAGTTAAAAATGGCTGAAAATGTGAAGGTCAAGGGCAGTCTTGGTTACAGCAAACATGAGGCTTTGGAGTTTATGAACCACAAAGAGGTGAGCAAGAAAAAAAAAAAAAAAACAACCAAAAAACCAGAATTACAACCCTGAATTTTTTTCTTTGATGAATATGATTTAAAGTAAAAAAAAAAAAAAAAAATAAAGGACGAAGACGATTCCCCCCAAAAAAAATAAAAAAAGCAAACNAAAAAAAAAAAAAAAACAACCAAAAAACCAGAATTACAACCCTGAATTTCAGAAGAGCCAAAGTTGTTCTGTTCAGGACCTTGTTTAGAAGGATACCATTAGAAATTCCCTTGGAGAGCAAGAGGGTTGAATAGTTTTCAACAGAAAGCCCTCTAAAGCATAAGGAAAGTCCATAGTGATATCAAAATTGTTTAGTAAGTGTGGCATAAGGCCTGCAAACATAATCATGGAGCTCCTGAGTGAGTGCAAACACAAGAGGAAAGTACACAAAATGTGGTAGCAGGGACGTAGAGGGGAATACAAAGACATTCCCTGCATATCTGGGAGTGTAGTTAGGAAACCAGGTGGAGTTAAGACTTATCAAAGAAGTCGAAGTGCAACAGAAAGGTTTCTGTAGGTGCAACAGTAGCAAAAGGAAGGTTAAAGAGATTCTGGATGCACTAATCCATGGGGCAGGAGACCTAGTGACAAGTCTTGTGAAGAACTGTTTCCTCCAAGGCTTTTTTCTTCACTAATGAAACTAATCTTTAGGCTTCCCGTGTCCTAGAACAGTATGAAAAAGGAATGCAGTGCCCACAATAAAGGAAGAATGAGCCCAGGGTGCTTCTGAGGGTACTGCAGGAGCTGGTCGATGCCATTTCAACTATTCCCATTGTCATTGTGAATTTGTTAACATTTTAACCTTCAAAGGGTCCTGGCTATTTGCTGAATGCCCTGGTGATTGGAAAAGGCAGAAGTTACACACATCTACAAGAAACTAGAGGGCAGTTAGGCTCATTGCAGGCCCTACAAATTCACAAAGCCTCTTAGAAGCCATTTCTGAGCACGTAAAGGACGAGAAGTTAACTGGTTAACTTTGACTTCAAACCTAAATTATGCCTGACCAAGGTATTTGTTTTCTTTGCTGAAGTGACAAGCACTGCAGACAAAGAGAGAGCAGTGAGCATTGCATATCTTGACTTTAGCAAAAACTATACAGTTTTGTATAGTGTCCCTATCTCCAGATTCAGGGTAGATGGGTGGGTTAAGCAGACAAATGATGAGGTAAAGTCCAGGTGATGAACAGAAGGTTCTTCAGAGGTCAGTAGGTACTCACACTGTTTAATATCTTCATTAATGACCTTGGTGATGAGACAGAGTAAACTTTCAGCAAGCCTGTGACTGATACCAAATTGGGGGCAGGGATCAAATGTTGGCGAGCAGGGCTACAGCTCAGAGGCTGGAAAAACAAGGTGACAGGAATGCCATCAGCAAGAACAAGATCAGGGTTTTTAATCTGAGATGGAACAAGTCCATGTAACTATCCAAGCTGGAGGATAACTGCTCAGAGACAAGCCTGGGGTCCCAGAGACCACTGAACAGATCATGAGCCAGGAACGTGCCCTTGCATTACAGCAGGCCAATGAAATTCTGGGATGTATTATCAAGAGCACAGCCAGAGGGAAGTGGTCCTTCCCTCTATATGGCACTTGTGAGACTATACATGGAGTGCTGTAGTTCTGGGCTTCCCAGTACAGGAAAGACATCAATGTCCTGGAATGAGGCCACTGGAGGGCTCCAAGACAGCTGGGAAGCTGAAGGTACTTACGAGGAGAGGCTGAAAGATCTGGGCCTGCTCAGCCTTAAGAAGATAAAGCCATCTGATAAGATGACACAGAGGAGATGGAGCAAGACCACTTCCAAAAGTGCACAGTGACGGGACAACAGGCAAAGGACAAAATCAAAAGCTGGCAAATTCTGATCAGACACGAGCAACAAGTGTTTTCACTGTGAAGGTGGTCAATATGAGAATGGTTTGCCCAGAGAAGTCTTGTGATTTCCATCCTTGGAGCTGTTCAGAGCCCTGTACCTCTGATCTAATCAGGCTTGTACAGAACAGAGGGTTAGACTACATAACATCTGAATGTCCAGTTCAACCTTTGAATAGCAGTCTGTAAGTAACTAATATTGTGGTTTATCTATTGCCTTGCTGCCCCCAAAATGCCTTGCTCACTGATTGCCTAATTAAGCACTGTTCACTGTTCACTAATTAAGCACTGTTAATAAATCAATAAATTGCTTTGATCCTGACTTGATTTAAACCATATCCATTGAGCAGTTTTTCCCAGTGGCAGCTAAACACTGCACTACAAATGCTTAGAAGAGTTTTATTTTGGACTTCTTCCAAGGGATAGTATGGCTTCTGGAATGATGTGCAAGGGTCATCCTTTGATCTTAGTCAAACAATACTGCCCTCTGGTTCAGAGCTTTGAAGACCTTGTTTCATGATGTTAGGAAGAAGTGAGTTTTAAGACACTTCTTTGTTTCACAGAGCTAATGGGTACTTTTGAAATTCAGTAAAGGCACTGCAGAGGTTTATGATACAGAAAAACAAAATGATAGTGGAAATTAGTAAATATATTCAAATGAGTGTACAACAACCTAAATAGTATAGATATCTTTTTGAGAAATATAACTTGGAAAATGAACTAAACCCTAAATTTAACATCTCAGTAAGTTTGCAGTGTGTTTTATTCTGTTGAGGAACCAAACTGTTCAAAGTAATTATAACCTTTCTACAGGAAAATATTCATTATCTAGTTGGTATATTGCTTTAAGAACAACAAATCCAAGGACTTGCAAAAGTCCACATAAGAACACAGTAAGTTTCCAGCACCACACACAGTTAAACAAATCAATTATAGGTCTAATTATGTGCTTTACAGCATTCTACAGTTGAATGGTAACATAAATTCTTTCATTTATGGTGAAAAATATGATGTCCGTTTAGGAATGAGGAACTTCCAGCGGAGTTCATATTTATAAAAAAAACAAATAAAAAAGGACAGAGAAAGCAGTTAAAAAGTTTATATATCTTTTACAATTAGGTATTTTACAAAATTTTGTCTCAGATATTTTTCTCGGTGTCTCTCTTTTCAAATTTGTCTTCTGGTTCTGTTAGAGAAAAGACAATACCATTAATGTTAATGAAATTGTGTTTCTTTATAATTGTAGACTGGGTATTAAAGATAAGAATAAATCCTTTAATCATGAAATTTACATTATGTGCTTATTGCAATATTAAATAGTCCCATTTTCCCTTATAGTTGCAATGACTTATCATTCCATGAATTAGAGAGGTTGTAGATCCTTGATGATAGCAGGAATAGAAATTTGCTGATATAACATTAAAGTATTTCTATGTTTATTAAACATTTTCCTAGTTAAGCATACACGTTTCCTGCATACCTTGTATTCATTAAAACAGGTAAACTAATCACCATGTCCCCAGGACATGTCTCCTGGAAGGCTGATACTCATATTTTTAACAACCAGCACAAAGAAACATGGTAAATATTCATATAAACTTAGAAAGAAAGCCAGTATTCATTGTCTACATTTTGACAGTATTATGTGCCATAACGTTTTAATAAACAATTTTTGTAAACTCAGAAACCCACTACTAGTACTCCCAAACTTTGTATGATGTGCACAAGCTGCAGATTTCAGCTATAAGGCTGAAATCAGAGAATCTGAGGGGTAGACAGACAGTACTTTCAATGTTCTTGGAATTAAAAAAGACAAATACGAATGTCCTTGTATAACTTAATGGAATAATGGTGCTCTTTGTAACTGCCCACATCCCTCCTGATCTGTTCACCTGTGTCATCAACCCCGCAATGGGGATAATCACCTGATCAGAGGTTTGGGAACCAGAAGCAACATAGAAGGCACTATTCAAGGTATCTTTAGTAGAGAACTGTAGATGCCAGATGCAAAAAGTCATGTGGATGTTCATGTAGCAGTTACTGTACTTGGAGTCTGCTTGTGAGCACAGAATTTATTCAAAACCTATTCTTTCAAGGGATGTGATCTGTGGAAAATGACTTGGTCAATACTCATTTGGTTTGCAGACATTCTTCAGCTTTCTCAGAAATTTGAGATTTGTTAATAAATAGTTGAAGCATTAGTCTGGTATTGAATAATGCACTCAGATGCTGTTTATCATTGCTACTATGTAGTCCATTCTCAATAGAATTACATATAACAACCTGCTCAACTCTATCAGTTACAACACGTCATTAATGACAAAATGACAAAATGGAGATAGCTAAGTGTCATTTTTTTAGGTACAAATTATATTCTTCAAACATAGAAAAGTTGTGTCACTGTTAAAAAAAAAAAGATAAAAGAGTCTATCATATAAAGAGGATATTTGCACAGGTAAGTAAACATTCACTTAAGGTGAAAACTTGAGGTAATCCCAGTGGAAGATTCTCGAAAAAATTTATTCAACAAAACAATAAGTCTGCAGCAAGAAAAACCTTTGTGTGTCTTTTTGGTTGCCAGCCAGACTATATTCAATTATCAGAGCATGATGCAAGTTATGATGATCGAAAAAGTGACCAAGGATTTAGGATGGTGATTTATTCTAGCCAACATGGTAAAATTTTAAGCAAACAGAAACTCACAACATCGTAACAACACCTGAAAAAAACCCAGACCCTTTGAAAGATAACCAAGCTAGGCAAAGAAGACTTGAGGCAAACAAAACAGTTCTTGTCATTTGATTAGATGTGTGGGATATTGTAAACATAAATAAGCAACATATTTCACCTCCAAAGTAGAAAACATCTCCTGAAAAAATCTGCAGAGGTGTGGAGGCATGAGCAGATGAGGTCATGTCACTGTCCACCGTCACACTGATACGATTCCTTTTGACAGAGAGAGAGACAGAATGCCACTGGCCATCGTTTAATCCAGCACCTGGAAATGAAATTTAAAAGTCAATATTAAATAAATTAAGTGTAGACTTCCACTATTTGTTAAACTACCTAAGTGTTACAGTCTTGAAAGGAGGAGGGACTGACAGAGCAATCATAGCCCACATAAAATCTACAAGTGAAAGCGAATTGAAAAAGAATTAATAAGCACAAGTGTCTTTTGTCAAGACAGAACCTTGCTTCACATTTGACAAATAAAAAATAAAAGTACTTCAGTGAATAATCCTTACTGTAGTAATGCCCCTAATTATCTGTAATATATCCATTTAATGTAATGACTGAGAAAACTATCCTCTCAATCTAAGGAGGTTATCATTAAGACATCATTGTGATGGCTGATACAGTATTTTACACATCATGCATATTTTTACTGCACTGTTACAAAGAATTTCTTCCTATTTTAAAATAAAAAATAGTCATTATGTTAAAACACAGCAAAGTAGCAAAATCCTGTAGATGATAAAAGCTTCAGTAGCTGTCATGTTAATGTCACAAGACAATTTTTCTTTCAGCTCTCTTTTTTATTGGACATGTACAGGAAAATATTCTGAGAGTTTAGGCTCTAACACAAATTTTCATTACCTCTGGCTGTGTAGGTGTAAGGTACCACAAAGCAATAAACCTGTAGCTCTGATTCTGGAAAGTACTTATGTATACATAATTAAATACATTCTAAACAGGGAAGTGTGTAACCACATTATTATCTTTAACAAGTGCTTTAAGTCAATCACGTTCCTGAACATTCTTCAGAGTAGAGGTACTTCTTTCAGTGAAGAACAAAGAATACAACCTTTGAATTATGCAAAGTCTTTTCTTGACTGCAGAGTGCGTGTGATTTGTGATCTGTGATTTCCCACTTGAAATTTCATGTATTTATATGCTCCTCCCTAGAATGTGTTGCATATGCTGCAGAAGCAGTCCATCAGTTAAGAGACTCATTCAAACAGATGGAAAGGAAATAAAAAGAGAAAGATGAGAAGGTTCAAAGAGCTAAATTCCAGCATAACTAGGATCCATAGATTGTTAACTACCACAACCTAAATACAAGATCATCATACAATCAAGAGATAAACCCTAGAAACGCATCAAAATTCAGATGAACTACCACCTAGATAATATCTCTAATACATTTAAGATAATATTAATCCTACACACATTTTCTATCATTTTTTTTCTATCTATCATACTTCCATCAGTGTATTTATTAGGGAACATGTAATAAGAAACATTAAACAATTTGCTTTATCCTCAACCTCAAGGAGGTCCTTCAAGTGAATGATGTTTTCTTCAGTCATATCTCTTCAATACACTATTTTTCCCTTTAGAATTCAAAGAATCATAGAATCATATAGCATTTGGGGCTGGAAGTGACCTTTAAAAATTATTTAGTCCAGTCTCCCTGCTCTTTGTGGGGACTGCTTTTACTGGATCAGGTTGCTCAAAACCCCATGCAACACAAACTTGAACATTTACAGGAGTGAAAACATTATGAACACCTAAATCTAGTTTGTTTCCATTTAAAATTGTTACCCTCTTGTCCTACCACTACAGATCCCAGGGGGGGAAAAAAGAAAAACAGCAACAAAAACAAACCAAAAAAACTCTGTCTCTGTTCTTATTATAGACCTTCTTTTAAGTACTGATTTTAAGTACTGATTGAATTCACATTTACAAATTTGCTTGTGTGGAGCCATGAAGTGGTACAACATCAAAATGGTGGAGGCCAATGGACTATATTCCATCTGAAAATTATATTTTCTGGTGCTCTATCATGAGTTGTAAAAACATTTTACCAGACAGAAGTGAGAAAACATAGCAATTATTTTTTTTTTTTTTAGTACGTAATGAAGTAGCTGCTAAACAAGATATCCATTTATTCTCAGTAGTTCCATAATTTTAAATCTAAATATTAAAAAAGGTCTATGGGACATCTTGCAGAACAATGGCATAAAAATACAGTGTATAAAATTTATCAAGAGATCAGTGAGAAACAAACAAAAAAAATTAGAGAAAACAATTTATAGATAAGACTGAAGTATAACCTCCAAATGCAATAATATCAATTATTTGATGTTAATTAATTAACATCAATTAATTAAAAGCTGCATAGAAATTAAAAACTGGATAGAAATAGAGGGTCATAGAGGAAACCGGGTAATAAGATCTACTATTTACAGATGTTGTAATTCAATTTGGTCTCATCATGCAACACAAATTAACTTTGGGTTGATTCCTTTTTTTTTTTAAATCCATGGTATTTCTTTGTGAATATTTGATGACCAGCTTACAAAAGAGGCTACAAAGGAAAGATATTAAATAACATCTGTAAAAGAAGGATACAGATTTTATTATATGTTAATTACTTGTGAATTAACATGCCATTCTCCTCGGTTTTATAAGGTCAAAAAAATTCTCAAAAAACACAGGATAATGAATTTAAGAACTGTGCACAAGGAAATATGCTCTGGTTTAATTACCAAGTATTACATGTGTGTGTGTGTGTGTATGTGAAAGTCCAGTCATAACTCCTTGCCTGTAGGGGAGCAAACCTGTCCAGCCATCCACAATTTAATTACTCAATCTCCAAATGCAGGCTTGAATTGCTTCAGTGAGTGCTAAAATAAACACTTCAAAACCTCAAGGAAAAGACAAATTCTTTTTCAGAAGAGAATATGATTTTGCACTAGTTTTTTTGCCTTCACAAACATAATTCCTCCTGTTAGACTTTATGAACAGTAAGCTTAACCTAGCATGAGAACATCAAATTCTGTTTCAGCATAGAATGTCAAAATTTATTCTGGGATGCTTTAAGCTAATACTTTATGTATTGTGTTGCAGCTTTGAAATTCAATAAATTGCTCTATGTGCAATAGAAGCTGTTAAAAGTGTCAGCACTTCAGCTGGTCTCTTAAAATGACAATTCATGGCAATAGTTTCTTTAACATGCATCACCTAATTGAACACCAATTGAAATAGCTCCTAAAAAACCAAATTCATCACTACTAATTAGCTGCCACTGACATTCTTACTGAGGAATTGACATTTTCAAATGGTGAGCCTGGGGAAATCTCTTGTCATTGAAATGGTACTCTTAGTGCATCAGTTATTTTAGATTATAACAAATAGCAGGGCCGATCCTATTATCACCCACAGGAAGAGGATCAAAGCATTTATGGAAATTTCAACATTATCTGTGGTCATTACTGTCTTACACTCTTTTTCTGAGTTAAAATAATCAGTGGTTTAAAATTTTACTTTTAATCATTATGCACCTGTACAAACCTAATGAGCTTCAGAGTTATGTTTAACCTTTTTTCCCCTTCTTTCTTTCCCCCCCCTCATCTCATGGGAGTCTACATTTTGTGAGAGGAGTTGAAGTAAGAAATCAATCTAAAAGAAACAGGGTCATGGAACTAAGATTAAGGGATTCTTATCTTATGTTTGTACTGAGGATAACTGGTTTGGAGGTTTCTTACCTGTTTTTTACCTGTGAATTCACTGTGCACATTAGATAACTGGAACTAATTTGGTTTCTTTTCCTTGATAATATTCTGCTTTGTGGATATGAAATGAGACATACACGCTTGTGTACAGGTCTAAATAAATCTAAGATGGATTAATGTTTTGGATATCATAAATGTTTTTTTTCCTGCATCCAAATTCACCTTTTCTACTCTGATATATTCCTCCAGCTAGTGGGCTCTGGTCATCTTCATCCATACAGAAGCTACTCTAATCCCAGACTAAAATTTCTTAATCTTCATATATCCTTTGTAATCTCATTTATCCACCTAATTTCTATTGTACCGGTTTTCCTGTCTGAGAACTCATTCTGAAATGATCATTTTATCCATCTACAAGTAAAGGGCGAAATTCAATTTGTTTGCATAAAGGATGAGAAATTCTCAGACGGCTCATGGAATGTCAGGGAATCATGTACCACTGATGAAGTGCTGATAGGTGAAGCTATTAATATTGGCATATAGTGATGTCACTTATCCTCAACATCTTTTAAAAAGTACTGAAAAATAGAGATGATGTCAGCTCTGTCCTGCTCTCATATGTCACAAAATTAACTACAAAAGTGACCCTTTAGCTCTGAGGTTTCAGTTTCCTCGAGTTCTCCTTTTTTTTTAAATTTTTTTTTTAGTCTCAAACTTGCCCTATCTTTCTCAGACACAATTTAGTATTGCACACGCACTGTCTCTGTTTAATGGACATCTCTGCAACTGAGAACTCTATAAAATAAAAGACATAATATTTATAGTGATGTGTACCTTTGCAGAAAAAATAGTTACTTGATGCCTTGTGAAGGCACTGACAAATGGTGAAAAACATCTTAATGTCTTAGCTTGACAGAATAAGTGATTAAGTTGCTTACACTTCGCAGCTGATGAAGCTGCTTCATTTTCCCAGATTATACACATGAGCTGTACATACAATATGCAGGTTAAGCTGAGAACTCAATTTTTCATTCAACATTATTGCAAGTAATTTCTACTCATTCATGGGGAAAAGAAGAATAAACATGTTTGAGAGAAAAGAAAGCATTTAGAAAGAACTGGGTTCACAATTCACACAAGTAAAGTGTAGTTGCACACATACTAACCACAAAAACAAGTCAAGGATGTAGGTACTAATTCAAATGACTTTTCATAAGCTATTTTTTTATGCTTTGGAGCCTTGGATTTTTTTTTTTTGTTTAATTTCTGTTACCTGCGGTGATGTCACTCAGCACTCTTCCTGGTTTATGAAGACTGATTTTAACTTTCCCATCACTCAGGTATAAGAGGAAACCACCTGAAGACCGGTGCAGTTTGCTGGATAACAGAAGTCCCTCCTTGTTCCAAGTGCGAAACTGGAAGCTGACAAACACCTCGTCTTGCCCTGACATGCCTGGCAGTGCCAGGTAACTGCTGGGGCTCAGGAATGTAACAGGAACCACCTGTGGCTCTAAACATGAGAAAGACACGTTGCCCTAGGAAGAAATGAAACATTGGGAAGAGTTGTGAGAATTTTTCTGCGGAAACTGCAAAGTTTCAAAACATGGTGAATATGATGTTTGAATGCATTAGTCTAAAAATCAAATATGAACATCATCACTTTGGGCAAAGTTTATGTAGCTGTTTGACCAGAAAATAGATTTATCTGCCTTTATTTATTCCTAAATCACATGGTTGATTTAATGGTACTTCAGGAGTTAGACAGAACTGCCTTGTTTCTAGTTTGGCTCAGCCTCAGGAAGCATCTGGGACTTGACAAATCTCTGGATGTCAGAAAAAATGCCACTTATAAAATGCCACTTACACATAAGTATGTAAATACTTACATGGGTCTAAATGCAGAGAAAAACATTGAGCTTGGCACTGATTGTTTAAATTTAAGAAAAAAACCCATTGTGCTAGACCAAGACGCAGGTTTTTCCAAATGAATGTAATTGGAGATGTACAATAACTCCAATATTTTTTTCCACAAACCGAAAAATTCCACCTACAAACTCTTGCTACTTACAAATGTGAAACACATACTTCATAAATCAGGAGCAAACAGCCCCATGTGGACTAGATCATGAGCTGGGTTTAGGCACCTAGCTTTTATTTTGTGCTCCTTCTGAAAGGAGCACAAAAGTTTACCTTTCTTAGGTAAACCTGTGATTGAGTTCTTTGAGATTAACTTGTCCAGAATGATGTAGATAAGAAATCTGGAACAGAAATAATGCAATTTTTGCATCTGGTGTCAGTTAATACTTTATGATGCTTGATAATAATACAAAATGAACTTTGATCTGATGACTCTCTGGTGCCATTTGACCTATAACTAATTTGTTCTGTTCAAATGGTTACTAAAGATTAATGTCTTTGGAATTTAAAACACACTTGACTTCTATTCAACACAAAGATGGTTTAAACTTTTGATCATACATAAAATTTTGACCGCTTAGTAAAGTTTTAAAATCAATTTTAAAAAAATACTCACTAATCCCTGGCATGGCAAGATATTAGAGATTATCTGTTTTCATTTTCCTCAAGGAAAATATACAAATAAGTAAAAGCTGTGTCTTATGAACTCAGCTGTGAGAAATGAATTGTCAGATGAACTGACCCCTAGTGAAAAAGCAGTCATCAGATTAATAAACTTTGTTAAACACTAAAAACTTGCCTTTTGCAGATTCCACAAGCAAAATCTCTATTTGTCAAGGCTTCTGTGGTAACATAGATACTTTCTGGAATATTTACATTATAAAACATCTCCCAAACAATTTTGAGAATAGCACAACAATTCAAAACGTTCAAGTTTCACATGAGAAGAGATTCCTGTCATTGATTTTCTCTAGGATAGAGAACCAGATTTGATTATTCATATTCTGAATTGAAATGAAAGCCAAAATAGAACTAATTGCTCTTGAAAGCAATTAATATTTCTTTAATTGTTTTGAGCTGATTTCTGTAATATCTCTGCATTTCCTGCGACTTGATAAATAAATATCACACTTAGAGATGACCCTTGTACTACTGGGAAAGAAAAAACAAACCACCAAATCAAAACCAACAACAAAGGATTTAGTAAAATTTCTAGGAAACCTTTTGTAACACAGAGAAAATTTGGTTTGGTGTTGGAACAGCTTCTGTAACAGATTTTGATAATGTAACTCTTGGCTGTGTCACAATAAATACATTAAACCCACCAACGAAAAATAGCCCAACTAGCTGATTACTTGATTTTTCTTCCATTACATAAAGTAGACTTCACCAGATATGTGTGTTAACAGATTAGATATGAAAGTGGCTGTGGCCTTTCTCTCTATTTTGCTTATTTATTCTTTCTTGACTCTGCATATCTTACCACAAAGTAGATCTGAGGTTTATGCCTCCTGGCCAGGTCAATAATGTTCACTTCATTATAATAAATATTTTCAAAACACCCATGAAAGTTCCTGCGTGATAATGTCCCTGATTTTCCAGGCACTGGGATCCCTCCAAAGCTGAGCTTAGAAAGAGAAGAAAAATCAATGATACTATTAAGTAATTTTCTATGGAAAGAAGTTGACTGTAACTTAAGAGCAGAAGTCGAAGACTGGCCAATAATGAATCTGCAGCTTCTTGGCTACTTCTTGCTACTTCTGGCATTTACAGATTAAAAGAAAAAGATAATAAAAAATTAGGCTATATCAAATATATGTACCTACAAAATTACTCTGAAATGTTGACTTTTTTTTTCTTCTGAGGATGTCTCTTAACAGTGGCTTAGATCAGTTTTCAGGGTCCATTACAGCTGCAAAACCCAGGAGAAGAACAACAAGGCCAAGAATATGCAGATAGTGCAGAACAGTGTGAAAATTACCAACAATTCTTTAGGAAATTTGAGCCTGACTTCTCCACCCTGTGCACATCATAAAACTATCATAATAGGCAACAAGAGTGCATCAAATGAAATTATTCTAGGGCACATTCAAAACAAATGAAAGGAGGTGCTTTTTCCCCTTTCAAAATACCTTGGCAGTTCCTTGGTATGGTGCTGTAGGAATATTTAGTTTCAGAAAGAGACAGGAAGATTTAATAAAAATCCATTGAGAGCTAATAAATTCAAGTATATCCCTCTGTCTAAAGAAGTCCCTGAGGCAGAAGCTGTTAGAAAGCAGTAAATTATTTCAGCTAAGCATTGCCATGAGGGTGACCTCAGTTATGTTTCTACTCTTGAGTACCACCAGAAACAGGATGCCAGTAAGTGAACTTTTGAGCTCACTCATTTTAAAGCTATTCCAGGTAACATTGTATGAAAGGTCAGTTTAACTATGTATGTTCTAATTTTGACATTTACTTATTTTTTTAAAATCTTCTTACCAAAAAAGCCCCGAAATCAAATATATCATACACTAAGTTATTAAATTTAGAAACTCTTATAGTCAGAGAAGCAATTCTAAATGCAGTATTTTGTTCTTTTTTGAAAGTTTTAATACTTTCTTTTTACTTGCGTTGGTAACACATACTTCAAACTATAGCATGTAGAAGAGAGGAAAATTTAATTCACAATATGGATTGATTTAGTAAAATATATTGATTTGCCAAGAAGTTATTTTATTTTTTAATTGGTATGATCCTCCAAACTTTGATATTGTGCTTTACATTAAGAAATTCTAAGCATATATTTTTGAAAGGAGATACTGTAGACATGGAACAGCATGAAATCTTCCTCTAAACTGCTTAAAAAATGGAATGAGTACAATAAAGTCTGCAGGTTCCAGACACTCTGCTCTGTCTCTCATTCTCTCATCCAACAAACAGGATAAGAGCAAACATAAAGCAGCCAGTCATCATATTACAACTGTGAAATATTGGTGTTTTTAACAATAGGTGGGAAGATTTCACAGTAAATTACATCTACTCCTTTTCATGAATATACCATTTGTTTAAGCAAGACTTTTTCACAGTATACTTTTCAGATCTAACAGGGATTTAAGTCTTAATATAAACATTTCTAAGATGGTTTTATGCTGACTCATTGTAATTTTCATCAAGCTTTTTAATAATAACATTATTATTAATAATAAAATAATAACCTTGAGTTGGGTCTCATTCATTATGTTTATACCGAATGAACTATTTATCACATTGGCAAATCTACTGAAACAAAGATATTAAAATAATGAATTCTTATATGAAAAGGATGGTCTTCTGAAAATATTGAGTTACTAGTCTAGTGGATTATTAGTACTCTAAGAAATCTCTTTTTCTTTGATTCATTCCTTTAGGTGACAGAAAATCCCTAAAGCCTACAAACCTCCTAAGCTCTATCTCCTTTGCCTGTTTCACTTCATCTGCATAACAAAGGTAATAAATGTAATAAAGAAAAGGTAGTTTTCACACCTCATAATCAAGGTCCAAAGAACTGAATTCTCCTTTTGCATGAAAATGATGAGTGTGTTTATCCACTGTAAAGTTTACTTGATTGTTAAAGTGCTCAATGAGAACAGAATGCCAGTGTTGATCATCCAAAAGGCTGCCCAGGGTAATATTAATTTGGGCATCAGAAGGATGAGTTTTAGTATCACCTTGAAGGAAGAAAAATAGAAACTATTAATTTCATTCAAAAATATAATTACTCAAATGTATACCACCAGTTTATCATATTCTAAAATCCACTAAACAGTTTAAAAGTTGTAGTTAAATAATAACTAATAACTATGTTAGACTTTATGAAACTGTAGCTGTTACCTAAATTAATGAGCAGGAACAGTTTCCCTTTAGTTAATTCCAGGGTGATGTGGTCTCCATTTTTTCCTTCTCTGTGGAGGAGAATTCCATCACTTTGCATGGTCTTAAACTTCAGAGAAATCACATCTTTCAGTGCATTCGTGAGTTTTTGATTTAATGTGTAAATGAGACAACTTTTCCCATCAAAGCCAACCACCTCAGACCCTAGAAGCAAAGAAATGAAAGGTAATGTATAATGCTGTGCCTAAAAGAAACAGTTGCACTTTACTTCAATATGATGTGAAGTCCCACCACTGACACCTCTAGAGCCACCTGTGCCCAGTAAATTGTAGAGACGGGAAAGGGCCAAATGATTTTATCCCAATTATATAGAAGACTATTTGTCAAAAATCAGTACACATGGAACGAGACTCACACAAAAGAACTGGTAACATCATAAAAAGCTCATAGAGTATTCACAGTTCATATGGAAAGCAGGAAAAGGTAATTACCCTTGAAAAATACATTTGTGAAATGGATGAAGTTGTAAAGGACTCTCAATAAAATACGAAGTTATTTTTCAACTGACTGGTTGACTTCTTGCAAGTCAAGGGAAACCCATTATCTATTTATATCACATATATTATATTTATGTAACTTCACTAAAAATATTTCTCCATATTGTCAGCATGGAAATGAACTGAATTCAAATTAATTATAGCACTTAAATTTAGTAGTTTATATTCAATTTTCAAAAACCTCCCGTCAAGTGAATGCAGCTATGTTTTTAAATATGGTTTCTTTCTTTTCCTTCATATCTTGATAATGAAGAATTAATTTACCAAATACACAATGAATAAATATAACATTCTACCTAAATATGAGTCCTAGATTGACTATTCTACTTAATTATGTTACTGAATGAATGTGGACAATAAAAACATTAATTAATGTTGAATTAAAATAATGAATGTCAAGTAGAATAGCTTCAATAAAGACTTCAATAAGACAACTTGATAATTGTTATTTATCAAACTATCTAACTTGATATATTCTTAGTAGGCACTGATAACAGTAGAATTTTTTTTTGATTGAGAACATATGGGCAAATAACATTTTCCTCTCATATTTGTCAACTACTCACAGCTTCTACTAGTTGCTGGACTTCAACATCCCTCTGCATGAGTTTTCTGTACTCGTTGTAAATAAGGAAAATAAATCAGGCTGTTTTGCTTTATGAACACTCAGCTTTTGTTTTCACCACTTATAAATTTTCTTTCTCAAATTAATGTAACCTAAATCCTTAGTATACTGTGAAAATAACTTTGGAAACCATGAAATGCCTCTGAGAACCTGAAAATTCTGTAATCCCCCTCATATGCCATAGGACCAAGAGTCCTAGTGACACCAAGCAAAAATTTTAGTTGAAATACCTTTGTTTGGAAAACTACTTTTTTTTTGTTTGTTTTGTTGTGTTTTGTTTTGTTTTTATAATCTTTAAATCAATTGAAATTAATGCTAATGTTCTACAGGAAAAAAAAAAACAAACAAGCTTAAAACAATGCAAACTGTTTGGCCATTATTCCAGTTATGAAGAGGATATGATGTCCTTTCTCTGACCGATGTAACTGTGCTATTTTAAGCATTTCAGCCAGGAAGGGAATTCTCAAAAATCCTCAATACAATTAAGTGTTAGAGAACAGTGGAAGAGGGTTTGTGTATCACATTATCCACAGTGCTTGTTGTTAGGTGAGCACCACATCTAACAGTTCTTAATGTGCAGTCTGCATTTAGTTTCCAGTTACCTTTCTTCTACAATTTTATACATTTGCCATTTTCGCATTTAAATCCATCTTTCTGCATTGTGAAGAAAAACAGCAAACCAACCAAACTAAAAACCCAAAATGTTTTTTTTGTTTGTTTATTTGTTTGTTTGTTTTTAGACTACTGGTTTTCAGAGGATGAAATGAGAGTGTTGTACTGAAGAGAGAAAAGAGTAAGCCAAAGACATTCCTAATATCCTCTTTTTAGTGTCAGGCCATAGCTTGCATTTTATTAATTGTCACAATCTGACATTTCAGGAACAAGACACAGGGAATTTCTGTAGAGATTCATCATTCTCTTTTGCACACAGTAAAGAGGAAGAACTATCAGGCAGAGATGGATTCTGGTGTGGGGTTCAGCACAGTGTTTGCAGTGTAAAGACACAAGCAGATTTTATCAGTCCACGTGAAGTAAGGTAGAACACCTGGAGGTATAAAACATCATTCTTCCTTTTTTAAATGAAAAAGACTGCAGAATGGGAGTAAAAAATAATGGAAGGACTTGTCTGGATGCATGCTTTACAAACACCTAAAAATTTTATCTAAACAGAGGACTTGTGTATAAAAAAAAAGGAAAAAAGGAAACAAAACTCACAATAATCTGCTTTATCTTGTAGAGATCTACCATGAATATTACCAAACCTCACTGAAACTGTAATTAAAGGGGAAAAAAAATTTCTGAGGATACTAGGCTGGGTTATTCAGAGCAGGTAGTTGACTGGAAGGCAGCAAGGCAGCAAACTGTAAGCAGTGCCAACATTTGTCCTGTAACTATTACTTCCCTAAGATAGTAATAACTTCTTTAGGATATAGCAGTCATGCATTTTTTCATGCATGGAAAAATGTGAGATCAACTTCCTATATTCTAGCAAGTTTAGTTTTAGTTGTGTAATTTGTAACAGAAAAGACTGAGAGAAGAAATTAGTGCTTTTGCACTTGAATACAGAACATATTTAACATACTTGGTGGAAATGAAGAGAGAGTTGTTTACTCTTACAATATAAGACCAAGTGAGAGCTCCCTAAAGGGAAGGATGAGAAAATGGGAAATGTGGAAGTGTGAATCAAAATTAAGTCAGGAATTATAGGCATTTCTGTTTTTCTTTATTTGCTGGTTCCTCCTTGAAAAGTAGCCATTCAGAAAGAGCCAGGCATAATTACTGTAATAATAACTACATGTCCTAATTGTGCCTGATAAATGGAGAAAAGGACTGGAGAGAAAGAATTAATGCTTTAACTTTTAAAATATATTTAAATTTAAATATATTTTAGAACTATAAGACTATAATCACCTGGTTTGTCTTCACCAGCAACCACTGAATTGAACTTCTAAAACCACGTGGTAATTTTAGATGTTCAAAATAAATATAGAGATGATAAGAGTCTGCAATTCATTTGGAATGAAAGCATTTATACATAGGAAAAATAAGCACTTCTAGAACATGCAATATTACTAATTCAGATAAAATCTTAACCAGCTTAAAAAAAATTTACATTATTTTTAACACCATCATGTTCTTTAGGTACAAATTATAGTGAATAATGGATGAAGTAAATATTCATTTTAAATTCATCCTAATCTTAGAAGATAACTACAGTTGATTTGTTTCCAGAAACTACTTATAGGATGGATCCTGTACCAAAGAAGTAAAACACTGAGATATATATAATTTTTCTCAAAGATACTTAATGACCACACAAAAATATTTTAACTTATTTTAACTGCTTATTCTGTGTGGTTTGTTTTTTTTTTTTTTTAGTTACATGAACATATTTTGTCCTATGGTCTTGACCACATTTCTCAGTTACATTAAGTTGTTCCAGAAATCATAAGTCATGTCCCCAGTCCCTAGGCAGATGTCACTGAGGAATTTTGTTTGAGTACTTCTACTGGCATGAGGAATCTGTTTTCTGGGATGGGGAAGTTTACCTAAATTCTGCATTGAACTATTCTCCTGCATCCAGATTGAAATTTTCAATATCCTTAGTTCGTGGTCTTTTATTGGGTTTACAAAGTCAAGTTTAAGGTAGAAAGCCCAGAGATGTGTTTTGCTGATGTTCACTTTAAGTCAGATACTAATGAATAGAAATAGAAAACAGATATATGGAGAGCATTCAGAAGAGATCAACCATGAAAAGCATACCTTAATTATAGAAGTTGAAAAAAAAAATCCTACAAATAACAGTATATCAAAATATGCAAAAAAAAACAATTAAAGAGGTTGCTTAAAATAAATTCTGTTTCCATCATGGAGAAAAGATCTGGAGAATAAAAAGTAGCAAACAATTTACTGAAAGGACTTTTTTAAGAAGTCCAGGCATAAAAAATTGTAACAGGAAGACATCAGTAAGATTTACACTGTCCAGCAGATCAATAAAACCATAAAAATTGTCTTCCAAAGGCTTATGTCAATTATTAATAGCACAAAAATAATTCTAAAAGTACCCCTTAAATATATAACAACTTTGAAGTATCTTTCATTGTGTATTTGTGGGTCTGTCTAGCTGTACTTTTATTGGCTCACGACCAAGACCACATATATTTAAAACTGTAAACATTTTCCGTATTTTGTCCTTCAGACAGAAATTACACCATGTTCAGATGGAGCTTTTAAGACTATTAAAAAAAAAAAAAGAGTCTGTGTTAAAGCAGTAATTGGATTATGTCCACACCATATATTCCAACACAGAAAGAACTGGAAAATAAACATCATATATCTACAGCTAATGCAGAAATTACAAAGTTGCATATAAACTTATCAAATCAGTTTTATTCCAGATTAAATTCAAGCTTAGAAATCTACTTTCAGACGTGATTTAGGTGGTGAAATACAATGATGGGGATTCATTTCCCTCAGCTGACTCAGAAACAAACTTACTGTACGTGCATCCGTACGCCTCGATGCGCATCCCAATCCTGCCGTTGGGATTCCAGTCTAGCGGCACAAAACGAAGGAATCGGGCCTTAATGGAATGCTGGAGCTTATAGTACACGACACTGTCTGCATTGGTGTTCCCAGAAAAGGCCTGGAAGAAAATGAAAAAGGGATCAGCCACATCCACAGCGAGCACATCAACACGTGGAAGCATCGCTGAGATTTTCGTTTTATACCCTCGTCTGGCAAACAGTCGAGCACAGGAATGAAATGCAACTATCAGTGAATTCCATTGGAAAAACTGATGAATCAATCTTGACTATTCATCTGGATGAGGTGTTAACTCGCCTGTGTGCTTAGCACTGACATCAGACTCAACAAAATATTACCTTTCAAAAGCTAACCTACCTGTCAAAAATGTGTAGAATATCCTGACCACTGGAGAGCAGCCAGGCAGGAAGGAAGCTGGGAGTGGGGATGGACAGAGTGTGCCCAGGGGGACAAGAAGGCCAATGGATCCTGGCCTGGCTCAGGAACAGTGTGGCCAACAGGTCCAAGGAAGTGATTCTTGCCCTGGACTCAGCACTGGTGAGGCCACCCCTGGAGTGCTGTGTCCAGTTCTGGGCCCTCAGCTCAGGAAGGACATGGAGGGGCTGGAGCAGGTCCAGAGGAGAGCAACGAGGCTGGGGAAGGGACTGGAGCACAAGTGCTGTGAGGAGAGGCTGAGGGAGCTGGGGCGGCTCAGCCTGGAGAAGAGGAGGCTCAGGGGAGACCTCCTCACTCTCTGCAACTCCCTGACAGGAGGGGGGAGCCAGGGAGGGTTGGTCTCTTTTCCCAGGCAACTCTCAGCAAGACAAGAGGGTTCGGTCTGAAGCTGGGCCAGGGGAGGTTTAGGTTGGATATTAGGAAGAATTTCTTTCCAGAGAGGGTGCTCAGCCATTGGAATGGGCTGCCCAGGGAAGTGGTGGATTCTCTGTCCCTGGAGGTGTTTAAGGTGAGACTGGATGTGGCATCAGTGCCATGGGCTGGGAACCACAGCAGGGTTGGATCAAGGGTTGGACTTAATGATCTTGGAGGTCCCTTCCAACCCAGCTGATTCTGTGATTCTCTGATTTCAGTGCATGGTTCCATGTAACATTTTTGCATAAGAAAACAGTAATCTCTAGGAATTCCTTTTACTGAGAGGTTAGAGTAGTTTCACTGCAAGCCTGTGTTTCAGGTGCATAGTATGCTGTATTTAAAAAGGTCTTCTGGCAGTCCATGGTAATGAAAGACTCTGGTTTCCAACTAAAGAATCTAGAGTGTTATAAAAGGAATTTTAATTGAGTGCCCTGTTAAAACAAGAAGATTTTGTATTTCATTTTTTTTCCCAGGTGAAGGATTTTTAAAAAGTAAACTTTTTTTTTTTAGCCATATTTAACCGATAAAATACTTCCCCTTTTTGTTTCATAAAGAAAACAAAGAAACAGAAAAAAAGGTAAAGAAGAAAGTAAAAAAAAAATCTAAAGAACTGTAATCATGAACTTTAACATCCTAAAGACTGGAGAATATATTCTGATTTTGCTGTGCTGTGTAGTGTTAGTTTATCATAACCTGTTTATGGTATATGAAGCAGAAAGAATTTGATCAGATATTTCGGATCTAAATACCTGACAAATTAGACAGAAATAGCTCTCTGAAATATTTATGTGAGCAGTATTAAAAAAATTACACATTTCTGGATGCATAGGCAGTCCTGTTGCCATAGCTAAAAGGCACAGACATTACAACTGCAGAAGTATATAGAAACCAACATTTTTAGCTATGCAGCTTCTCTTTCTATAAGTTTTTGAAGCAGAGGTGAGCTTTGTTGCATTAATTATTTACCTCCCTATATGCAAATCTTTGCACTTTCCCTCCCCTGTACTAGTACAATTTCAATAAATTCTAATCTCTGAATTTTCTCTTACTGTGAGCAAATGAAGTGTTCAATTAAGATTTTTTGCCAAATCATTTTTGGAGAGCAGCCACCTCATAGAAATTAATTTAAGTTTTGAATACAGAATGTATATTGCCTGATTTTTTTACTGTAGGGTATACTTAAACCATGTGTTTTTAATTTAAAATTAGGTTTGGGGTTTCAGTAATAACCTAAAAGTATTTCAAACTACTCTTTTAACCATTCAGAATGACCAGTTTAGAAATCAATATTTTTAGCTGTCATTTTCCAGAGCTTTTATCTGTTAAAAGCACATTTTAGAGTGTATCAATTGTGTTGAGTATTAAATGGGTCTTTTTTACTTGATTTTAAACACTCTAAAGGTTAAAATATATAGTTTGGGGCTTTTTCAGTTTTAATCCTTTTCAAAAGAAAGAGGACAAAATTAGACAGCTTTTCCTCCAGATTATAGTACCGAAGGCGTACCCAAAACCTATGAAAGTAGCTTGTAGGCTTTTTAGAGGAGAATTAGATTCAATGTGACAGACAGTCCTGTCTTTACAGCAGAACCCAATTACTGTTTCATGGTCCAGCCCAATGATCTTTTAAACACAGAATTATAACCACATAACGAGCTGCTTTCCTCCCACCCCTGCCTTCTTCAGACTGTTCAGATCACTTCATTTGTGTGCCAAATCATGTAAAGGGAACATGTCATTATTTTAGATTATGCAGATTACCCAGGCATCTCCTGGTTAAAAAGATGTAATGTTAAAATGACTGTTACACGTAATAAACACTGTTTGCAGAAGTATTAATAGGATTGTAAAGTAACCCCTCCAATGTAACTGCTTGTGAGTCTTAGTTGATACTCTTACAGGTACTGCTTTTCAATAGCATGATGACATACCATCTTTCTCAAAGAATGCAGTTTTTAAAACATATAATGCAGTTTAAACAATAGCAGGATGCTTAGCAGCATAGATATATCTAAGAGGATAACTGTCCACAGCCTATTTTATTCCATGGGCTGTACTGAAGCCTGAACTGAGAGCCTACTCTCAAACTTGTTTTAATCCTCCTACTCAGCTACTAACCCAGTAATTTCTTTGCCTCAAGCTACTTTAACCTTGCTTTGAATATAAAATTACTCAGTTCATTATGGTGTCAGAAATCATGAACGTGCTTTGGACTGCATTGGTAAAACTGAGTCCTGCCCGTAGAAGGGCATTAGCAAGCTCAGGATGACTGTGAAGTTAAGCACACATCAAGATAACATGAAAAAAGTTCTTTGTTTCCTTGTTCAACCTCTATCTAGAAACCAAATGTGGTTTTAGACCAGGGATAATACAGGCACCTTGTCCAAAACTTCCTCAGCCAGTCAAAAAAGCCCCCAGAAATGAAGCTGTGTATGACCTGTACTTTAGATAATCTAGAGGACATCATGCTTATTTACAAATGCAACTTTTACTGTATGAAATAGTATATACACACTGTAAAACATACTACAAAGCTAAATAATGCCTTGCAATTGAGCAATGTAAAACCATACACAATGGTTTTACATATGTAGTGTACTCACTATAATAAGAGTAATATTTATTACAAATATTACTTAACAATACATCTATAAATAAAAATAAATATGCAACTTCTCATTCAATGTTTAACGACAAGAACTGGAAGGGGACCCAACCTGAATAATTTTGTCAGAAGAGAAGTTTAACAGTGAGGTACTAGTATACCCCAAGAAGGGTCTGACATCATAATGTGGTTTATGAATTCCAGTACCAACATCAGAAAAAACAGCTGAAAATAATCCATGGAAACCAGCAGCTCTTTGTATAAAATTCTTGTTGCATGATGATGGTTATGCTTTAGAAACACCTGTATGAGTCCTCCTTATGACAACACACCAACATTGCTATTGACATTCAGGAGTCATCAAGAGGGAAACAGAACCCCCAGTGGGCTGCTGGTAATTTGATTACCTTAGAGCATCATTGAAACTACCATAATAATGCTGAAGGATTAACTCATCTTGAGCTCTTCTGAGAATTAAGAGAGTTCAAAGTAAATTATTTTCTCCCATTACGTCCAAGTGATATCCAAGTTCATAGAGTAGTTTAATTATTTACACCTCAGTAACAAAAGGAGTGCCTGTTCCAGATAACTTAGGGCACAGTACAATGAGCATCAATTAACATGTCTTCTGAACAAGATTCCAAACTTTCAGACTCTTCCTTCTTATCCTATTACCACTGTGGTGAGTTATGATTAGTCTTTTGAAGCTGCTCCTGAAAGTCAACAGGTTAAAGTGAAAAAATGAGTGTGAGAGTCCTTCACTGTTCAGAAAACACTGTATCAGACAACTACCTTCTTTCCTAGATGCCCAGATTAGAATTATGGCCAGGACAAAGTGATCACAGAGATTAAATGAACAGATTGTTACAGCTTCATTGTCATAAACAAAAAATTATGCAATAGCTGATAGATCTGTTTCCTGTACTAACAGTGGCATCCCAGTGAGAAGCCCAGTACCGTAAGTTATTCATCATAGTTTTCACTATATCTTGTCTCTGAATTGTTCAAAGATACATTTGAACCACACTGGAATTGTTTTCAATTGATCCAAATACAGAGCAGTTGCACATATTCATAATTTTGACTGATCACAACGTCTTTTGTAAAAAAGAACAGTACATATTTATGGCAACATGACTAATATAGACCAGATAGATAGATAAAAAAACTTGGCAGAAAACAGTCATAAATTCTCGTTGCAGTCAATGACCACCACTTGTAACATCTAAATTCCCACTACTGCACTTAAATCATTCCATCAATGTCACTCAGAAACAGGATAGTGGGGTAAATTGTACCAATTTTCTTTCAGTTTATTTCTTTCTGGTATTTATTCACATTTGGTGACTTATTCATTGGAATATTATACCATGATTCTTTCTCTTTTTTCCTTTTCACTGTGTGAGTGGAAAATTAGCATAGCTTTACATGAGAGAGCATCTCCAGAATTAGAAGATGAAGAGAGGATGAGAATGCACTTACCAGTTAATTTATCAAAGGTGACAGCTGACATTTGTGAAGGGACTCTAGAAATTCTTTCTGCCTTTCAGGGTTTTTTTTTGTTTATTTGTTTTGTTGGGGTTTTGTTTGTTTGTTTGTTTGTTTTTTGTTTAATTTTTGTTTTGGTGGTTTGAGGTTTTTTTTGTTTC